TATTTAATATTTTTATTTATTTATATTTATATAAATAAACTTAATTTTTTTTGACTTTTTAAAAAATAATTTCAATCATTTTCAAATTTTTTCTTTTTATATTCCAGCAAAATTCTGAAAAAATCATTTCAAAAACAAAATGACTTTAAGTGGAATTTTAGTTAATTTTCACCTTCAACTATTAAAATCAAATGAAGAAAAAGCTGTGTTTTAGTCAATTTTTTAAAAATAAACTGATTTTTTTACTTTTTATAATAGAAATATATTTTTAACCATCAAAATTAGACGAAACTTAAGTTGAATTTTTATGATTTTTTTTACTTTTATAATAGAAATATGCCTTAATTATCAAATCGAATGAAAACTAAGTTAAATTTTAATCAATTTTTCTGATTTTTTTTTTTACTTTTTATAATAAAAACATATTTTCAACTATCAAAATCAGACGAAATTTAAGTAGAAATATGCCTTTAACTATTAAATCAGACGAAAATTAAGTTGAATTTTAGTCAATTTTCTGATTTTTTTTTACTTTTAATAATAAAAACATGTCTCTAACCGTTAAAATTAGATAAAACTTAAGTTGAATTTGTCAATTTTTCTGATTTTTTTTACTTTTTATAATAGAAATATGCCTTTAACCGTCAAAATCAGATGAAACTTAAGTTGAATTTTAGTCAATTTTTCTGATTTTTTTTTACTTTTTATAATAGAAACATGTCTCTAACTATCAAATCGAATAAAAATTAAGTTGAATTTTAGTCAATTTTTATGATTTTTTTTACTTTTTATAATAGAAATATACCTCTATCTGTTAAAATCAAACGAAACTTAAGTTGAATTTTAGTCAATTTTTGTGATTTATTTTACTTTTTATAATAGAAATATGCCTCTAACCATCAAAATCAGATAAATAAATTGAATTTTAGTCAATTTTTCTGATGTTTTTTACTTTTTATAATAGAAACATGTCTCTAACTATCAAATCGAATAAAAATTAAGTTAAATTTTAGTCAATTTTTCTGATTTTTTTTTACTTTTTATAATAGAAACATGTCTCTAACCGTCAAAATTAGACGAAACTTAAGTTGAATTTTAGTCAATTTTTCTGATTTTTTTTTACTTTTTATAATAGAAACATGTTTCTAACTATCAAAATCAGATGAAACATAAGTTGAATTTTAATCAATTTTTCTGATTTTTTTTGCTTTTTATAATAAAAATATACCTTTAACTATCAAAATTAGATGAAACTTAAGTTGAATTTTAGTCAATTTTTCTGAATTTTTGCTTTTTATAATAGAAACATGTCTTCAACTATCAAATTGGACGAAAATTAAGTTGAATTTTAGTCAATTTTTGTGATTTTTTTACTTTTTATAATAGAAATATGCCTCTAACCATCAAAATTGAATGAAACTTTAAGTTGAATTTTAGTTAATCTTTCTAAAACATGCCTTCAACCATCAAATCAAACAAAAATTTAGTTGAATTTTAGTTAATTTTTCTGATTTATTTTGTTTTTATAATAAAAACATGCCTCTAACTGTCGAAATCAAACGAAACTTAAGTTAAATTTTAGTCAATTTTTCTGATTTTTTTGCTTTTATAATAGAAATATGCCTCTAACTAGTGTGTAAAATTCATGTGTATAATGTATATATGTGCATATTAAATTTTTATGTGCACATATTACACAGCATAAAATGTGCACAAATAATTACTAAAAATAGATAAATTATATATAAAAATGGATAAATTATTTATAAAAATGGAAATACTATGTAATACATGTATTAATTTTCTATTTTTAATACAACTTGTGCATATGACTTTTGGTCTAAATTTTATATACTGTTTACCACTTATGTCAAGATTTTTATTAACGATTATTAGAATGGAAAATGCTGAATAGATTGTAATCCCGTTGATGTTATAAGCTACAACACCTGTTGGTGCAAGAACAAGTACAGGTGACTTAGATTCAGTTCCTCTCATCTCGTGAAGCCTACCTCAGATTGCATTAATAAGGTAAGTTTTTCCAGTTCCTGCAGTCCCTATTACGATAATTCTTAGTGGTTCAACTTGATGGCCTTTGAGTATATTATTGTAATGAGATTCTATTCGTTTAAAAACTATCTTTTGTTTTTCATTTAGTGTTTGATAGTCCACAGTATCAGTCACTTTTTCCTTAGCATTACGCCTTTGCTTATCAGAAGCTCTGATAATAAATGTATCAGCATCCATTAAGTCTGTATTAGAGTATTGTTTCCTGCAATCACTGATCCAATCATGGTTTTGATCTATATCACGAGATTCTAGGTCAGAAAAACTTTCAATGGCTGCATTTGGATTCATCTCCGCTAGAACTATCCATTCAGATAAACGTTCATTTTATTCATCATCTTCAAGTAGTTCATCATCCTTTTCATCAATTATTTCATTTTCTTCATTATCTATAAAAGATCCAAGTAGATCCATCGGGTCAAAATTGATCTCTTCGAGGTAACTTTCATATAAAGTTGACCATGCAATAGCTCCTTCTTCAGTTAATTGTTAAAGATCCCAGTGACGAATATAAAGAAGAACTTTTACATGATAAAACTCTTCCCATTGAGAACCTTTGCATAAGGGTGATAGACATAAAAAGATACGCACGACATTTTCTTGATTATATTTTTTCCAATGATTTTTAGCAAATTTGTATTTAAATGAAGCTGAAATAATGTAAGATTCTCAAGTTCTGTAGGTTGTTCTCAATAACTTTCTAAAGGTGACTTTTCAGTCTGCCTAAAATCTATTGTAGTAAAGCCTCTACTTTTCCCAGTGCTGCAAATCCATCTTGGTGTTTCTTTGTTGAGATTCAAGAAGACAAATCCCCTACTTAAATGATACAGTGGAATACCAAGAAGGGGGTGACAAGTTTCTTGAGCAGAAATGTCACGTTCTGTCACACTGTAAAGTAGTAACTTCTGGACCAAGGTAAGTATTGGGTCATCAGGTTTGCCGCTTCTAAGAATTTGATTCAGTATCTCTGAAAAGGTAGAAGATCGCAGTTCTACTTTGCTTGTATATTTTGAAATATATTGCAAAGCTGCGTGTATACTTAGAATCAGCTTTAGGTCAACATTTGCACGCTAACCTTGTAATTGAAGTCTGCTGTATATATTAATACTTGGATTATTTCTTTTAGTTACAAGTTCAGGCTGGCTGTGGCTATCTTCGCGTATAAATGTATTTTCAATACTTTCTTTAGGGTACCCAAATCTGCAGGATTGTTATCTGTCTTTAATGCGAAGACAGTACAAAGGGCTGCACTGCATGTATCGCTGTAGCTTATTAATCAAATCAATATAATCTTGCTAGTCATAACATTATTCGTCACTATGTTTTTTACATGGGTGTCTGTCAGAAACTGGAGAATTTAATCCTAAATTTATCATAGTAACTAATGTATTCAGGTATTTAATTACTTCGTTCATTTTGTTTTCATCTTCTTTCATTTTATCCCATTCTATTTCAGATGCATCTTATCTTTTTCTAATTTCATGCATATAAACGCTTTCACAGTGCTGCCATTCGAACCTTAACTACCAGTCTTCTAAACCCCATTGCCATTTTAGAACATCATTAAAAAAAATCTCAAAGCGCTTGTTAAAAAACCAAACTGCGATATGAGGATTATTAATGATGTTTTGGTGATTGTATCTAGACGCTGTCTCTCCTTCTGTGGGATTTTCATCAGATGGCATGAGACTGTGAAGTTCAGGCCAGTGCAAATCGGCTACACTGAATGTAAAGAATACTAAGCCTCGTAAACCTATCTGTTTGATCATGTCAGATAGTTCCTAACGCTGTGCATTCCAAAATTGCCAAGAACTGCGTAGACCTTTACTAAATTGCATGATTCTATTGGCAATATAGCAATCACCTTGAACAATTCTTTTTTAAATATCTGAAATGGTGATTTGTGCATCAGTGAGATTTTGTTTAACAAATACTTTACCTTCTTGTAGTGCTTTCCAGCGCATTTGGGAATTTAAGGTAAAATATCTCCAACGAGCATGACATGCAAATCTTCTGTCTCTGTATAGAAAAAGGTGTTTAAAATACTCAGTGGGTTTCACATTCCTAATACATTCTGCATGAAGATCTGCATAACCATTCGGATATAAGGTTAAGAATGCGCATGCAATATATCTTGGAGTTTAAAATTCATTAATGGGAAAATTACTTATTTGTGGCTATTTTATGATAGGACTGTCTTCATTCTGCACACGATTAAGGGTGTTTTATATAGTGACTTCTTCTCGATGAGTTAAAGAAAGTAATGGAACGAAGGTATGCGTAATTATATCATCTTTCTTATCATTATTCAAATCTTCAACTATCTGAGTCTCTTGAAGCCGGTCATCAATGAAGCTATTAACAGGTAAGGATTATAGAACTTTATCATCAATCGTAATATCATTGTAGTAACGATTGTTCTCCTTCAACCAATGTAATGCATAAGCAATCTTAGCATGACGAACTTTAAAATCCCTGAATTCCAAATTACTTGTTGATTGGTGACGTACAATAAGTATATCTAATAATGATGGATTCTGAGGCAAGTGAGTTGCGAATTCTTTTACATCTTGGGAGAAGTTTATTACATTTCCTCAATACCCAAGTTATCCTTCGCAGAGTCTATAAACAGACATTACGGGGAATACTCGCGTAATTAACATCTCTTCTATTTCTGTAAATCCCTGCAACTCTTCAGGTACTTCACCTAGATCTATGTTATTCTCTTTTGAGAATTTTTTTGGTAATGTTTTTTCAGAATAACAATGACGACATTTCCCTTTTACAAGTATTATCAATGAAAAACTCTCATTACATACGGGCAAAGTGAATGTTTGAATTTATCTACTTTAGCACGAAATTTCCGTAAAAGACCTATTTCGAATTTATTTAACTCAGCAGCATGAGATGTATTTTCATCGCTCTGACCTTGATTAGGTCGATTCTGCTAGGCTCCGTTCTGCTGCGTTCTCATATGATCCTGCTGCAGCTGTTGTTTTATGGCTTGATCCTGCTGCGGTCTCATGTAGTCCTGCTGCGGCTGTTGTTGTCTTATGGCTTGGTCTTGCTGCAGCTTTTGCTGCGGCTGTTTTGGCCTCAAGATTCAATTTGATTTTCTACGGCTGTTAGTTTAAGTTTCTAATCTTCAGCGTTTTCTTTCGCGGTCATGTACCCAACGCGCATCTCTCTGTTCAGTAGTTTCTGTTGCTTTTTTTTGGTGGTATCTCTCATGCTGTTTGGCAAGGCGTGCCTCATGGTCTCCAGGTGTTTCATTTTCTCTGGATTTATGCTTTCGTATAGTGTTGCGATTAACATTTTCGTCCATTTTACTAATTAATGGGCAAGTACTAATAAAAAAGTTAGCATTTCGCGTATTTTCGCATTCTCGCATTCTCAATATCGTGTGGCTTTATGTGGCTTGCTGCTTATTATACTTGTTACATGTGACGTGTTGATCATTGAATAATGCATTAACGGTATTACAACAATTTTATTACTCAACCGCGGCATATATAACACAACTTAACTTTCGCAAATATTGTACACAAAAAAAAAAAAAAATTTATTATATTTTATTAACTGCATATAATACAAATATACAAATATACTTTATTACTGAAGATCGACTTAAAATGGTTTCCATTTCCTAGTTTACTATGTATCTGAAAAATAATAAAAGTTTTTATCCCACTTGATCGAAATTTTTTCTTGGAAAAAGTGTTCGTGGTTATTGATTAATGTGAAATACTGTATCATCGCCTATTTTCATCGTCGGTGAAATCATGTGGCTCCATATTCATGTGATCGTGTTGTGTGTAACCGAACAGCTCATAATACGCGTCGTTGCCATTTCAAATTTTTTTTACGTGTTTCCAGAGCTTTTCCAGGTTGCCAATGGACTATTTTAAACAAACCTCGCCGAATGAATATCGATTCCTAGACTATTATCTGCACTGCCAGAAGCAAGACGATTTTACGTATTCTTTCCGACGAGAAGCTGATAAGCTCCAACGTTGCTTAACTTTACTTGCATATGATAAATCGGAAGATGTCAGAATTGGTACCGCTCGTTTGTTGTCTAGTTTCGAGGTATTATTTTCTTATTAGCTACTGTAGTTGTAGTTAACATGCGGATGTGGAGGCTCTGTTGAAGTCCTGAGGAGGGGCACATACTTCCATGACTACAGCAGGGGGATCAACCTGCTTTACGGCGAACCCGTCATGCACTGCAAACTTGGTTTTGTTAGCCTTTTTGTAGAGGCAGGGCCTTTCACTTGAGTCCTGAGGAGGGGTACATACTCACACAACTACGGCAGGGGGATCAACCTGCTTTACGGTGAACCCGTTGTGATTCGCCATTTCCTTGCTTAGTATGTGTTGAAAACCCAATATAGAACATTAAATATTATTTCTGTTTAAGGGGCATCGAACAAAATATGAGGACGTTAACATATTTTGGAAACAGATTGAGAGTGAAAATTCAATCGATAGTGCTGAGGTTTGTTGCTTATCAAATATTGCATTAATAACTATCCTTTACTAAAGTCGTTTTCAATCATAGGCGGAAGTGGCTTGCAAGTTCATATATAGATCCGCTGGTATTGTTGTACAGCACTTACGAGTGTAGAAGAAAAGATGGTATGGGTAATTCTGACCTAATATGTTAATTAGAGAAATTGGTTGGCTTACTCTGATGTCTCCCTTGTAGAAGCAGAATCGGAAATGTGCAAGTGTGGATGAAGAGCGATTCCCAAAAATCAACAAATATGTGACGCCTACAAGAGAGGTAATTCATATCAATTGTTTAAGATCACAGATAGTATGTTAATTATCTCGTTATAATATCTTCTACGCTTTAGTTACCTAGCGACAACTCCCCTACGTTGCCTCATCGTAAACGGATGCGTGAAGATCTTCAACCAAATTTGGTGGAGACCGTTGTAAGCGATTATGAATATGACGAAGAACAGAAGGAAACTTCTGATAACGAAGAATATTCCGATGATGAAGATTCTGAAATTGAGATGAGCAAAAATACCCTTGAATCCTTTGATGAGGCAGATCAACTCATTGAATCAGAATGGAAATTATCGAGTGGGAAACTCGTCACAAACGTCCTTTCAGAAAAAGCATTAAATATGTTTGAGAGTTGTAAAAATTCGAAAAGATTGAATGCTTATCAAGCCAGTGTCATTAGGTGTGATATCATGTTTTTGATTGATTATTGCATTCACAATAGAGCAAAACCACTGATTTATTTCTTAAAATATAGGCTCGGATTTTCTTCTGTCGTAGACTTGGTTTCCGAATTTCAAGATGGCATGAGTACCTGGTTCGGAAGTGAATGGGCCGGATTAAAACAGAAAGCGCAAAATCAGATAAACATGATACCAATGAAGTTCGAAGGCTGTGTTCTAGACAGCATTATGAAGATTGAGAATGTATGTGAAACAGCTTGTTGGTTGATAATTTTAATTGTTGTACAGTATATTAACATTATTCTGCACAGCTATGTTTAGAATATCAGTATTGGGAAGCGCGAGATTACTTATTAAACCAAATGAAGGGTCGTTCCGCCACAAAAATCTATCTTCAAATCGTGAAAATATACTTTACAATGTAAATCATTTTTTTTTAATTGTAGTTCAGTAACTGTTCCTATAAATATTAAAACTAATGCACCTTTTTTATTGCTAGCTTGGATACGCTACTTAACGATCCATACGTCTTTGTGGATGAAAATAACAAAGAAACAAAGCTAACGGAGATGGAATTTGTTCTCAAAACAGTGGCCCCGGTTATGGACATTATATTTTCAGATATCAATCATCTTGTTAGACTTCGATGGTAACCACCTATTTTATTGAGCACGCTTAATATGCAAATTTTACTATTTGCACTTTATAATACTTTTTATCAACATATTGTAGGGGGGAAACTGTATCGAAGGCTAGCACCGCATGTAGAAAAATAGATCTGAAAATTGAGACTCGAGGGCAATGCATAGAGCTCAGTCATACGGAATGTGCACGATCACCTACACCGGCCAAAATCGTTCGGATCGTAGTAAAATTCTACGTACTAACAAGTGCATCCTTGACAATATTTTAAAACGGAACATTTCTGATCAAGCTGTTGAAGATTCAGCAGTGTTTGCTTTCCAATTCGCTGGTAAGATGTGTTTGCATCACTAAATTGAAAATTGTTATACCTAACATTTCATCACTGCATTAGGATTATATGGTCAACTCCTTGCTGTGGATTTGTTTGATAATGGTCTATACTTTTGCTTGGAAGGACCTGACTTCAAGTTTCCTTCGCAATTACCTAATATCAAACCTCTGCGCCAAACATTAGAGGTATTATACTACTTCAAGGTTTGAAAAAATATATTTTTCAATTGTTAGTTTTCTTTAATAAGAAATCTTTTATTTACTATTGCCAATTATAGGAACGTATAATTCAGAAGGCTACTATTCTGTTACAATTCGATACACAAATAAACCCATATAAAAAAATTTTCCATAGTATTGATGAGAAGCAACCGGAACCAAAACATAAAAAGATCAAATTCATCAGATCAACATATTTCACACCACGAAAACGTAATCAAAATTTTTTTTATTGATACTATCATTAATTTATCATTTACATTAACCTTTACTATTCCTGTAAATTCTCACCTATTTTACAATAATGTTAATTATGTATTTTATGTATTAGCTGTTAGACTAAAATTAATGCAATAAAGTTTGTCCGCGTTGAACTATTTTTTATACAGTATGTGCGGATTGTATTTTGTATCAAATGTATATGCTGTGTGTGGTATGTGGTGTAGATCATTCTAGAAATTCAAAGAAATTTACAGATCACTCCAAAATTAAAAATGATCAGCAAGTGATATTTTGCTTTGTTTTGTTGATCATCATGGTTCACACGATTGCCACTTTTCTAACCTTTTTACTTTTTCACCATGACTAAGTTTCAACGCTCAAGATTTTTTGTCAACCGTACTCGACGTGAACAGGAAAAAAAACAAGAAGAACAAGAAAAAGAGAAAGAGACCCTTCAACGTCAGGTTACTTTCTCTTTAATGTTGCTTACGGAGTACCATGAGGAAGTACTTGCATTGTCAGAAGCTTTGGAACGACTGTCCTCTCTTCCAAGGGAGTTAAATAACTGGTATGGTAAGTACACTTCTGCTCGCAAAAAGTATGAAGACTCCCTTAAGCTTCTGCAAGGGTATAAGGACCAAAATCGAGCTCTGGCTCGTCGTTTAGAAGAGGTCCAAATGTCATGGCGCTCCTTGGATACTTTGTTGCGGCAGAGAAGTAAACAATTTCATTTTGCTTATTCGTCGCATTCTTCTCATTATACTCCTTACTAACTTATTTTGATGCACGGGGCAACGTACGCTTCGGCTAACCATAGTTTACTCAATGTTATTTTCACATTGACGTACGCACTTGCTAACTATGGTTTACTTGCCCTCTGAGTTTTTATCTTTTCCATCTGTATTTTCTTTTCTTTTTCTTTTTTTACTATTATTATTATTATTGTAGTTTCTGTACTTGTATTTTCTCAAATAAAGCTCTTGGCTGATGCCATTTTACCCTCTTAAAATTGTTACTGTACTATATGTGCTAGATTGCTAATAACTCTCTATATAATTTCTGGATAAATTCGCGTCGGAGTGTGTTGCGAAATTTGATCTGCGATTTGTTAAATAAACTTCTAACTCATGATGTGGTACAGTAAATTTTTCAGGTCTCAAGACTAAATTCTGTACAAAGCATTAATGCCAACTGAAGACGGAGTCACAAAGATCATCCTATAGCTATACCACGACAATACCGCGACGATAATACATTTTTACTAATAAATTCACGCGTCAACACCGTGTCAATACCACGACATAAGTAGGGTTGGTAAAGTCCGTCCTGGTCCGGTCCTAGTCCTGGGACCCATAAGTCTTTTTTTACAAACCTACAGACCGGGTCCGCATATAATAAGTCCTAGGACTTAGGTCTGACCAGGTTCGGTCCCGGGACTTGGTCCTAAGACTTAGGTCCGACCAGTCTTTTTTTTTATCCGATTAAACGTTGCTAAGAGTTTTATCGTATTTTATCGTATTACATAGTTACACAATTCGATCACTGATCCACTGAATCATTAGAAGTTTATTGAATGATACATACATATATAAATCGCAAATATTTCACATTTTGTCGCGCTACACC